AAGAAGAGAATGTGTTTTTAATTTTTTTATAGAATTTTTAAATAAACAAGAGGTTAGATTTAAATAAAGCATTATAAATTGTGATGAAATTGAGTTTTAATAGATAATTTTGTAATTATATTAAATATTAAATATTAGGTATTTTCTATGAAAGCATAACTAAAAAATTTCAAATTGAAGTTCCTGATTTTATATATATAATTGTTGTGAATTTATTATAGCTTTTATAACTTCTAGAAAAATTAGTTAAAAAGTTATCAAACATATTTATTTAAAAATTTTATAAAATTCCAAAAAAAAAAAAAAAAAACTCCCAACTACAAATGCATCCTAAATATCAAAGCTGTGTTTCGCATGGTTTTTAAATTTAAATTTTTTTTTACTAATTATAAATTTTTATAATAACAATTAATTATCAAGATATCTTAGTATTTTTTATAATTAATAATTTTAATGTATTAATTTATAAAAAAGTTTAAATAACACATATGAAAAAATATTTAAGCATACAAATTTAATCAATTTAATTTTAAAAAATAAATATAAATTTTTATAATTTGTTAATATATTATTGTTAATATATTATTACTACTTTCATTCAATTTTAATAGATTTAGGTTTAATAAACTTAATTTTTTATTTAATAAAATAAATTTTAAATAATTAGTTAATAAAGTTTTATATTTATCTACAATTAATCACTATTTAAAAAAAGTTTCTTATTAATATATATTATAATTACTTTTTAGAATAAAAATAAATACATTAAATAATTTAATTAGATTTAAACACCCAAATTTAAATATTAAATATACTAAAATTAATCTAAGCGAGTACTGAATGGACACCAACAGATGTGACAAACGTTGGTTAGACTTAGACCATTTTTTTCATTTATTTTACGAGTAAATTATTAATTGATCCTATATTTAGTAGATTAAAATTATTTTAGTTTTTTAAATTTTTTATTCTTATAATTTTAGCATATAAGTCTTTTAAAAATATTTTTTTTAATTTATACTCTTAGAATATAAATTAAGAACATTTTTTATATTATTATTATTATTAAAAAATAAAAATTAAATTTTAATTATTTATTTATTTAATAAAAATAATTCATGTAATATTAGTGATAAAATTAATATCAAGATGTAAATTTTTTTATAGTTTAAGGGTGCATTTGGTATTGCTGTGAAGTGCTGTGATTGTATTTAACTGTAACTGTACTGTAACATAACTGTGGTAAAAAGTTATTTTGGTGTTTG